GCAATAACTCAAAAACTTTTCATCGAAAGATCGTCAAATTCAAACCTGTCCAAGAACTCATTAATATAAATGATCACACTAAATTTCATTCAAATCAGATGGACAGACAGGGTCAACGACAATATACGACCACATTATAATGTGGAGTTTAAAAAGTAGTATGTGTTACTTTAGAAATCCCCTTCCCCTCTACTGAAAAATAAAGGGTTTGGAAGCAAAGGTTAACTTGACATCTACCAATCAACCAACAAACCTTTCCCTTTTTTCATGTTTTTGCATACCACTTTTTTGTCTAGATTTGGATTGTGATGTCTAAAACTAGCTGAGCTGCCTGTCTCGAGAGGCATTACTTATTTCACCGCAGACGAGAGTTCTCGGCTGAGCTATTGTCTCACTAAAAGATCTTCGACGAATTCTGTACGCCAACGAAAACAACCGAAGAACATTCGGACTGTATCCATGTCACGTAAGTGATCATTTTCCTGTTTTGGAAAAACAGAGTATAGACACAGATAGTCTTGCCATGTTCAGCAAGTTGATCTTCTAAAATTGCATCATTAACAGTTACCATAATGATACCACGTAATCCGTCAATGCGTTTCTATTGGTTAGCTACTTTTTCTAGCTCAGCTGGCAGCTTAGACGCCTGCACACGGTCAATTTCTGGCCTCTTGAGGCAGAAAATATCAAACAAGATAGATCTTTTCCTCATGATCTCTCGAAGCACACAGGGGAAACAGCTCAGCTCCCAACCTCTTGGGGCAGGCAGCTCAGCTAGTTCCTCGCGTCTGCGGCAGGCTTTAGATTTGCATAATGCTAAATTTTAATGGGCATGATATATTGTTGCGATAATCATGATAGTTCCTCAAAGCCTCGATTTGAAACCCAAATAGCTGGAAAAGAAAAAGATAGATAAGAGATTGAGGTCTATTGTTCATTGCTATTGGCCCTACCCCATGACAGCCAAGTAAAGTGAACTTAAGCTAGTGCAGCCATTTCATTTTGGTGCTACATTAAACATGAATCAAAACTAATCAATAAGCAATGACTGTAGGTTGTGAGAACATAAACAAAACCTTCTGAGATTTTTTTTTAACTGTGTGTGCATGTTG